GACATACAGCAGTCATGTGACAGAGCCTGCGTTTGAGCTGACGCTCCAGCAGAAGGATGATTGCTGATAACAGCTGCCTGGGCCACTGACGGGCCTCACATTGAACAGTGTTTGATATCAAACACTGTTCAATGTGCCACTGGCTCCATTTAGCTTCTTCCAGTTTCTCAGTGTTGGGAAAGAGTTCACCGCGATCATTTACTGGAACCTTTAATGGAGCTGAGCCAAAGCTAATCAAGTTTGCCTCTGCTGTCAGTCAGCCAGAAAAGCTAACAGTACTTTCTGAGGTGAGAGTCGGCCGAACGCCTTTAGGTTTGAACCGAAACTTTCTGAGATTCGAGCGAGACATTTTTTGATTTGTTCTGATTAAAATAACCAGGACATGAATCAATAATAAAACTGATGCTTGGCTGCAGCTCTGCTAGGAAAAACCAAATAAACCACATGAGTGAAAACATGCTGCTCAGCTGTGAGCTGGAAGGCTTTGCCGAGGAATGATAACCTAAATGTGTACACATGCCGTTCATGCTTTAAACAGAATCATCTATTCACGTCCACGTGTTCCTGTCACGCTCTGGTTTGGACTGAATGCTGTTTGAGCTCACGGCTCTAAGCTTTGGCTGTGAAACATTATTTAATCTGAGCCGTGTGACAGTTTCAGGCTTTGAAGGTCGCACATCTTTGCTTTGTGCCCCTGCAGGATGCAGTGATGGTAAAGTCAGTACTGAGGGTTTATTGAGCAGAGAAGCTCTATAATTAAACGGAGCAGCTGCTGACATACGGGAATAGCCACGCTTTGCACACTTCCCATTCTGCTGAAGCAATAAACTGAGTGAGAACGGCAAAACGAGAAGTGGTGAGCTGACCGTCGGTGTGTGCGTCCCAGTTTGCATCACAGCTGAAACACAAACACGGGCTGGTGTGATGTAAAGCTGTGACATTTCTCATGGCGCTCACAGCGCACGGCTCAGTCAGGACCAATAAAGCTGCCGCAACCTCAAAATAAACGAGCAGCACAAAGTGTGACGTTGTAAAGACGAGCAGCTCGCTGGGGTTTCATCACACTGTAAACAGAAGATGTAACTTGTTTATACTTTCACATTTTAAGTCTCAGTCCATTTCCAAAGGTGAACACGTTTGGATGAGTGGGCGGAGCGCTCGGTTATCAGCTGACGCTATCTGGGTCAGCACAGACTCTATGGGAGCATCACTCAGACACCTGCTGATCCATAACATCCAATCAAAATACTAGAAGTACTGTAACCTCACAGCAGCCATAAAACTGGTCACATGATGTCATTAATAACGCAGAGGTCCGACTAAAAGCCTAGCAGACAGCTAACAGCTACAGCCGCCTGTGTCACCTCCACCTGTCAGTCAATGAGGCCACGCCTCATTAATGCAAACTCGAAGAACAAAATATCTGTAGGGACCAACAAGTTTGTGCATCAGGCTGCAAACATGTTTGTTTCTGCTGCAAAGTTTTAACACGAGAGACTCGCTGGAGCCCCTGCTGGACGTTACAGGAACTGCAGCTTTTGAAGCTTCAGTTTTTGTTTTTTGTTTTTAAAAAGGTCAAAAAGATGATAAACAGCATCCAAATATTCATATCAAATGTTAAAAAGCTGAGCATTAATAACATTTAACCTTCATAATGGAACTGTTCATTTTTTCATCTAAAGCAGAGCTGTCAAAATCCTCGAGGGCCGCCGTCCCGAAGCTTTTCCACAGCTGTCCCAAAACATCGGCCACATTTGAAGGCCGATTATGTCACAGCCAGGCGACGAAGGCTGTCCCAAGTCGTCGACTCCTTCAAATGCGTCCTCCTTTTCCCTGAATTTGAAGGATGGGTTGGGCGTGTCCTTCATGGCCCACCATATCCCAGAATTCATAGCACGGCCCAGCCAAA